TGTAGCTGAATTTGAAAATGGTTAAAAGCTTCTCAAGTGTAGAAGAACATTGAAATGTAGTCTTGCAGGATAAAGACAACATAATTAATACATCCTAGAATGTATATCTTTGAAAAAAAACTACTTCAATTTCTCTTGTATAGGAACAAATCTCTTGTGGAATCCAAAGATGAATAAAGCTGTATAAAGGGAAGGTTCTTAAGTTGCATTTATTAATACTTCAGCATATTTCAACACCTTTGACACAAGGTAGGCGATTTTTTTGGGTCCTGTGAGGGTTTCCAGCCCCAAAGCTGTGCTTGGGTCAGATGAACATCCCAGGCTGTTGCCTGGGTGTAGCACTGGAGGATGGGGCAGAAACTGGAGGTGAACATTGAGCTGTGAGTTGCTGTGAGCTTGGGGTCAGTTGTGTGAGAGGGTTGGGGTTTGGTGTGATGATGAGCCAAGAGACACTGCAATGTACTCTCAGAGTCAAGCCTCCAGCTGGACAGTTCAGTAAGAACCAACATGGCCAAGTCAAGAATTGCTCAGGCAAAATGTTCCTTCAATTTGTTGGTCGAAATGGTTTTCACCCTGTGAACTGGGACTTTGGTCACAGCCTCACCTGTGACTGATGCTTATGGCTCATTGCTGCAAGCAGTCAAGCTGCCAAAAGAGCAATCAAAATAATACAAGCTGAGCCTTAAACCATGTGCCATACTGTTCTGAGCATGGATCACAGCAAGGCAAGCTCCTGGGGCTGCAGCTTGGGCTCTGATGTGGCTCTGCTGTAAATGAATGTCCAGGTTGAGGTTAGTGACTCCCATTAATCAGCTGCATCTCTCTGTGGCTTTTTTCCCCCCAGTCAGTACAACAGGATGAGCATTACACTGGATACAGCTCCAGTTGCAGACATAGACCAGAAAGGGAAGAGATAAACCTGAGTGTTACCTACCATTACAGCAGTGTCAGGTTAATGGTTGGACTCTATCTTAGAGGTCTCCTCCAACCTTGATGATTCTATGCTGAATTCATTGATCTTCCTTAAAGTTGTTAGCAAGGAGGTACAGAAGGTTTGAAGACAGGTAGCACTGCTCCTGAGCTGTGGCACTCACTTTTCCCTTGGATTGAGTACACAAAGGCTTCTGAGCTTCATGGTTGCATTTTATTAGAAAAATAGCACTGAGCAGAGTCATTTCCAAACAGAGAATTAAGGCATGTTAGAAAAGTGATTCAGAGACAACTTGTGCTACTTGCAGACACTGAAGGGGGTGCAGAAGGTACTGACAGCAACTCATCCTTCTTCCTGCTTGTTTAGTTGCCTTCCTTCAGCTTCAAGCCATGGCTGTCCCTGTTCTCCTCTGGAACTTCTGAGGCAGTCACACAGGGTCTCTTTTCTTTGAGTTGTACTCTGAGGTCTTCTCCCACAGAGTTCCAGCTGAGCCAGTGCACAGCCAGCCAAACCCTTCCCTTTCTGCTTCCACAGGAAACAATGGCTGCTGTTAGCCCTAAGGAGCATTACTGGGGAAAGGCAGAGGAGGCAGCTGTGTCACTAATACAGTACCTGCAGAACACAGGAGGAATTGGCTGGATATGCCTTTCACCAAGTGACAGTCATTCCTCTGACCTGTTTGTGGGAGAAACTTTGTTGGTTAGACTACAGAAAACAAAAGGTCCAGAGACAGAACAGAGGGAAGGAACTATAGAGGGAAACCTAAGACTCCACTGGTAGAGTTCTTGTTTGGGCAGTGTGGGGAGGTGGGTGGAAATTCTATGAAGCTACAGGTATGCACATTCAGTACAAAATCAGTGCAGATTTATTATTTCTTACACTAAGAGGTTAAAATCAAGGAACCTACTGGGTGTTTTGCTGTTTCTCTTTTTATATCCCAGTATTAGCAGCAAGTGGGTTTAAAATCAGAGAATTGCGTTGTGTTATTTCCAAGACTGGCTCTCCTTAAAGGCAGCATGAGGCCCAGACTCACCAGCAGGAAACATGAACTGGTTGAATTTGAGTCCCTTTGGGTCTGGCAACAGAGAGGGTACACAAAAGCAGTAAATGCAAAATAAAATCAGGCACCAGGTCTCCCCCAGGCTGGGACCTGCCCACAGCCTTTCCTGCAGAACACTTAGCTCACGAGGAACAGCCAAATATCCAAGTGTAAAAAGATCTTCCTTCACCATGTAGACAAGGCTAAATGGAGTCCTATCACTGCTCACGTGCTTCAGCATCCATTTCTCTCATCTGGGAAGAACTGCATTTTCCTAGGATTACTTCCTGAAGCAGAGTAGTCCTGATATATTTTTAGAGCCAAGCGCTTTACTGTGCAGTCATTTCACTCCTTTTACACCTTCCAATTGTACTGTGTAGTAGCAAAAGGATGGAGGGAGGTGAGGAGCAAAAACCACCCTCAACGTCCTCACAGTTGCAGTGCAGGGTGACACCACTCCAGGTGAGTGCCCAGGCAGGGAGATCCGGCTGACCATCAGTCTCATCAGCAGCTGATTTGCCCAGGTTATCCCAAGGGCTGGAATGACTCTGCTACCCACTGCCCTGTAAAGAAAGCATTGCACATTGCTGCATCCATAAATTTCATATGGAATAGCTTCTGTGGTAACAAAACTGGACTGGAAGAAATCATCTGCTGTTTCCAGATTTGCTCTTGTTTGCTCTACTGAAAACCACTTTGAAGACACAATCAGGGTGTTCTCTCAAAACAAAACCTTTGGGACAAGGTGAGAGCTGGGAGAGAAGTGTTTCCAGACAGAACAACTGTCACTCTTCCAGCACAGCCATGGGCAGCACCTGCCTCTGCCTGGACAGGCCTCCTCATGTGCCAGGAAAATCACAAGAGAAAACTGGTTGAACTGTGTTTAAAGTTGGCCCTGGATTCCACTTGGAGGTGTATATAGAAACACTGGGTAAATATAACACTGCACACATATTATTTTAAAGCTTAAAACATTTTTTTCCCTGGGAAAAAGTGCAATTTCTCCAGTAAAAGAATTATAGGATAACCAGAGCAAAAGTAATAATTGAACCTTATCCTTGTTCAGTGTCAGTTTCTGAACCTGGAGGACATAGCAAACTTCTTACACCAGGATGTTCAAATCAAGTGACCTACTGGGTTTTTTTTGCTTTTTTTTCTGTTTTTAAACCTCAGTAACAAGTAGGTTTAAAATAGAAGAGTTGCTTTGTGCAAAAGCTGCTCTGTGTTATTGCCAAGGATGGCTCTCCTTAAAGGCAGCATGAGGCCCAAAAGCACCAGCAGGCAACATCAGCTGGTTGAATTAGAGTCCCTAACATCCATTTATGTAGCATCTGGATACCAAATAAATCAGGATTATAGGGATTCAACCAACAAATATGTGTGCTTGAATCCTGTTAGTATCCTGGTGTCAAAAGATACTATTTTGGGGGTGTTTTTCTTAACCCATTAACAAAACCAACCACTGAGGTTTGGGTTTTTTAAAGCAGACAAAAAATGCACTCAGTTATAGCAGAGACAAGATGAGAGGCAAAAACACTCCTGAGCCAGCAAGTACACCAGCCATTAACTCCAGGGAATTTTTCCTTATAACTTGCTGATGACAGATTGTGACACAAGTGTATATGACAGTTTCTTCTACTTTCCAGCACATGAGTTAGAGCTGAACTCCAGCAAACACAGCACTGTTGGGGAGAAGCTGCACTACTCTGGCAGTTTATATTGGAGCTATAAAACCCACAGTGGTTAAAAATGCTGCTGTTTGACATCACCACACTCAGCTCTGCATGACTCACCTACAACTGCATGGAGCAGCTTCCAACTCGCTCACTGCATCCGTCACCTAGGGCACAAAAACACTGTTCAAAGCTGAGCTGTGGTTGTGTGTCTGTATTCAGCAAGCAGGAGGGCGGGGAAGAGAGCAGGGACAAGAAAATCCAAGTTACTGGATCATCTATGAAGCCAATTTGAAAACCTTTATTCTGTCAAGGCAAACTATAAGGGAGTTGTGAAGTACAATCTTAGTTTACAGTGCTAGGACTTGGTTGCAGTGCTAGAACTCCTTAGCTAGATATAGCTTATATGGATTTAATGACTACTAGATGCTTAATTTGTTTAAAAAAACCCAAACAAACACACAAACCCGCACTCACAAAGCTGTTCCAATGCTGTATAGCTGGAGATCAAAAGTACTGAAGGCCAAATCAACAAAAGGTGTCTTTAGTCCCTCCGGAGAGGGATCTGTGTTAGGAGCTGCAGGGACAGGACAAGGGACAATGGGTACAAAATTGAAGGAGAGAAATTCAGGCTGGATATTAAGCAGAAGTTTTCCCTGTTCTGGTGTTGAGACACTGTCCCAGGTTGCCCAGGGAGGCTGTGGCTGCCCCAACCCTGGCAGTGTTCACAGCCAGGTTGGCTGAGCCTTGAGCAACCTGCTGTGGTGGGAGGTGTCCCTGCCCAGGGCAGGGGTTGGGGCTGGATCATCTCTAAGGTCCATTCCAACCCCTAACATTCTATGATTTCACTACCTATGCAGTTTCCCAGCAGTAACCTGCCTGCACATTCATTTCTCCATTTCCAAGGCTGCATTCCAAGTGTGGATGCTTCACCTCCAGCATTCATATACTCCTTGACTCTGTGAGTGGACTAAGAGCAGTGTCTTGCCTAGTTTTCTCAGAAGAATATTCATTTCAACCAGGATCATTATGGCCTTTTTTTTTTGGCTCAGCTCAAGTCAGCAATTGCATTCTGGTGCTTTAGTCAGTCACACAAAAATGCTGAGCCCCACAGAAATGCAGCAAAGTCCCTGGGGGTTCACTGTCTCCTGGAATATAACTGTGCCTGTAGAGTTCCCAGAGCAATCCTACTGGCCATGGCCTTTGAAGCCAGTGCTAAGAAAGAACTGTGTTGTTTTGCTTTGATCCCTTGTGCAGTTGCTATACATATCTATTTTTGTTAGCTTTAATGGGCAACTTTTAAGAACATTAACAGTCTACAAAAGCTTACATTATGTTCTTTGGGTAGTTAAAATTTACTAGTTTAAACATAAAGATTAGATGTTAGGAGAAATGCTTTCCCTGCCAGGGGGTTGAGGCACTGGGATATTGCCCAGGGAGGTGGTGGAGTCACCATCCTTGGAGGAGTTGAAGAGGCATCTGGATTTGGTGCTGGAGGATCTGGTTTAGGGGTTCCAGCAGTGACAGGTTAATGGTTGGACTTGATGATCTTAGAGGTCTCCTCCAACCTTAATAATTCTATGGTACACCAGTTCAATGAAGCTTCAATTTCCATCAGTCATCAATACTCAGCTGACAGGGACAAATCCACCACCATGAAACCTACGATCTTAGAGGTCCAACCTTAATAATTCTATGGTACACCAGTTCAATGAAGCTTCAATTTCCATCAGTCATCAATACTCAGCTGACAGGGACAAATCCACCACCATGAAACCTACGCACACAGATTTCACCCTCACCCTCCAGCCATTCATTAACCAAGCAGCAACTCTGATGTCCTACCTGATTAATGCACATGATTGGAGTCCTGAATCTGGTGCTCAAGCTGTGCAGCTGTACACCAGTTCAATGAAGCTTCAATTTCCATCAGTCATCAATACTCAGCTGACAGGGACAAATCCACCACCATGAAACCTACGCACACAGATTTCACCCTCACCCTCCAGCCATTCATTAACCAAGCAGCAACTCTGATGTCCTACCTGATTAATGCACATGATTGGAGTCCTGAATCTGGTGCTCAAGCTGTGCAGCTGTGCCCCAAAGGTCTGCAAATACCGAGCCCTGTCAGCAGACTCTGCCGCGCCGAAGTCGCAGCGGAACAAGGCGGCGATGGAGTCGATGACCACGAGCCTCACCATCCCCCGGGACAGCAGCAGGGACAGCCTCTGGGTGATGCACTTCTGGAAGGCGTCCTGCACACACACACAGCAGGGACACAGGGCAAAATCAACGTAGGAACCACAGTTCTCCCAACTGAAACATCAGCTGAAGGAGTTTCTAATCCTGGCAAGAGCTCTGAGTCTCAGTAGAAACTGTTTCTTGTAAAGATCTGTGATTTTACCTTAGGAAAAACACTGAAGTGTCCACGCTGCAAGTTATCTGCAGCTCTGACTTAAATCTGCTCTTTACTGCTCAAGGATGCAATGCCACAATCCTAACCCATCCCTGATCTGCAGTTGTTGTTCTCACCAAAACACTCAGGACTCAACACTAACGTAAAATGTCCCAAACAGAAGTTGGAGCCTGTGGGGCTGTTCTACTAATCACCTGTTAACATAAAATACTACATCAAATCCATGTGCATAGAACCATAGAAACATCAAGGTTGGAGGAGACCTCTAAGATCATGTAGTGTGACCATGAACCTCTCACTGCTATAACCCCTAAACCCTAAACCATATCCTCCAGTGCTAGATTCAGATCAAGAGTCTTAGAAACATAGAATCATAGAATCAACCGGGTTGGAAGAGACCTCCAGGATCATCAAGTCCAACCCTACTGTGGTCACTAGACCATGGCACTAAGTGCCACATTCAGTCTCATCTTGAAAACCTCCAGGGATGGTGAATCCACCACCTCCCAAGTCACCAAACATTTCAGCTGCAGGAAGTGTAAGTAACAAACATTTTGAAGGATGCGATTTCTACCCTATAGGAATGCCCAGATGAGTCAGGTGAAGGTCCCTGCAGCCCAGAATCATAGCAATGTGGGCTCCAGCAGCTGAGCAGAAAGGACAATCAGCTCCTGGTGACATCTCAGCTTTTGGCCATTAGAAAAGTCAATGTTGGCAGAAAAAGAAATGTGAGAGTTACAGTTCTGTCTGGTGCCACTCCTTACATCCAACTGGAGTTTCACAGCTAAGAGCTTCCACGCACCCAAAATTACACAGAATATCCTCCAGCATTCCAAGCTTTTCAAACAAAATTGTAATTCCCCAGTCTGAGTTACAGTAAGATCCAGCCGACTAAATTAGCTGCTTTTTACAAAATAAACAATATTATCACATCAAAGGCTTTTTTTCTCCCCTCTTTTTAACTGGGGGGGGGGGGGGGGGGGGGGGGGAGGGGGAAATGACTCTGAAGAATTTGCTTTCCACTCTGCAGAACTACGTTGTTTTTTGCTCCACTTACTGTTATACCTACAGGAAACTTCAAACACTTGAGCCTCATTCTCTTCATGGGAATACACAACTGGATTCTTCAGAATGAGGGAAGTGAAAAAAACATTTTGATGTGAAGGAAAATAATTATGACTTGGGTTTCTAGTTCAGTTGCTGCAATCTGCCTGTCTCTGTACAGCAATGCATTCCATGTGCTTGGACACATACAGACTGAACCTGTACACAGCAACAAGGAGCCCTGGACTGACCTAACAGTGGCTGAGGACAACTGCATGAGG